TTCAGTTATGGCGGTGCAAACAAACTAGGACAGTGCTTTGACCAATGTGCATCGCGTAACGGCCATCTCGATGGCGGCGATTGATGCTTCACAAGCAGCAAGTGTGGAACTAAGAGTTAGCAAAAAGGGAAGCGCCGCTTCCTACCGCACCGCACTTCCTCTCTGCCACCCTTCCCTCTCGCATCTTACCTCATCTCAGCAAAGCCCGAAATTGTGGCATCCGAACACAGTGCAATTTTTTTATAACATTACTCTTATTGTTTCGATGAAACATCGCGTTTTAAAGATTGGCAAAATTGCAGTTCTCGTTCGAACCTGGAGATGTTCTACGACACAGGCCGTTTGTCACGGGTGGACAGCTACGTACGTGGCCTGGATGATCGTATTGAGCATCAGTTTTCGAGCACTTACGCTAAATATCATTCACCCTCGCGGCCATATTTCCCTCACGAATACACGCCAGTCAACGGATATAGAGTACGTTGTTAACGTACTTTGTTGCTTTCACCTAATCATAAAATCTTTGTTGTAACTCCAAGCGCTTAAAACTAATCTGTTAACCTTGCTTTTGTATGTTTCTTTGAGTTCTCTCGCATGATTATTAAAGCGCATTGGGATGAATCGAAGTTGAATGTTTCATAATGGTGGGACATCAAGCACTCCTTGTAGTGATTAAAACAAAGAAATTTTGCAGCTCCCACCGCTGCGTAGATTTCGAAAATCGAGATTCATCAGCTTACTACCTGCTTTCAATAAAACGCTGCTTTGGTCTTTTCATGGTGTGTTTACCAGTGCCGTTACTGAAGATAGGGTCGCTCAAGCTTTTCACGCCGAAAACATACCAAATAATATTTGCCTTCATTCCCGTTACCTACTGCTTAGCATTTAGCAATCAGTCTGAAGATTGTCGCTTTGGAGAGCCATTTATACAGCAGCTGACACAGGAGAGATGTTAATTACAAGTAGTGCAAGGATTTGCATATATTATTTATTCCTAGCTATTGAAAAACTGAGCTTGAATGAATGCATCGTAAACGCGAGAACACACAACCATTGCTTGTTTCAGACGTTGCAGCATATGCACTTAGAGCTGTTTTTTATGCGTTTTTGCTTATATGCAAATGCAAAAACACATATTGTGACGACCCCGGTGTGTATATGTATTCGTCTTTCTGAGTATTTCAACTCGGCAATCAAGCAAACTCCCGGGCCAAAATTTTACCAGTAGGTTCTCTAGCCAAATACCACTCCAGAATAGCGGCACCAACCCTCA